ACCACTGCCGCGGATGAAGACAGTGGACTCATTGTAGAACAGATCCTCGCCGGTCTTGGCATCCTTGGTTGTGTACCCAGCCACCACGATGGCCGCGTTGCCCTTGTCGATAACGTCGATGAGCTTGGGATAGGTCAGGGTGTTGGCGGTGGTGGGGATAGGGAACTTGCGAATCTCCATGTACTGCTCGCCGTGGAGCAGCATCATGGGGGAGAAGTTCTTCACCACATCGTCCATGTTCCAGGGATTAGCGGTGTTGAACCAGGGGACAACACCGTACGAGGGAAGGGCCTGGAATTGGTCACTGTTCTCGTAGACAAGTGGCAAGTCGGTGCGCTTAGCGCCCACACTAAGATTATACAGAATCACATCGCGGTCATCGTAGTTGAAGGGAGTGCCCTCGCTCAAAAGGGTCTTGGCCTTTTCAATGTTCTTCAGGGTCTCATTCTCGCTGGAGGCGTTGCCGTGCACGCGGTTAGACATGTTAGCCATGATCTTCTCTGTGCCAGCCTGGCCGTCCTCGGGGTGGTCAGCACTGCCATCATCGAAGTTGGTGATCTGCTTCCAGTTACGAGTCACCTCCTCTGGGGTCAGCTTGACGTCCACGGGGAAGCCGTGACCGCCAGTGCGCTGCCAGCGGGTACGGCCGAACCAACCGCTACCACACTCAAACAGACCCTTAGTGGAGGGCTCAGGGGCCATGTCAGAGCACAGCAAGACCACAAGGGGAGCAACATAGTCGGGCTTGAAAGCCTGGACCATCTCCTCGGGCATAATGGTACGGGTCATATTGGTACCCGCGTTAGGAGCAATGGTGTTAACCTTAATGTTGTACTTGGCGCCCTCTAAAGCTAGAGTGCGGGAGAGACCTAGGATACCAAGTTTGGCAGCAGCGTAGTTGGCCTGGCCGAAGTTGCCGTAGATACCGCTGGTACTGGCAGTATTGACAACACGACCGTACTTCTGCTTGAGGAAGTAGGGCCAGGCAGCCTTGGTCACCTTGTAGGTACCACGCAGGTGGACATTAACAACGGAGTTCCACAGGTTGTCATCCATGTTAGTGAAAGCCTTGTCGCGCAGGATGCCGGCGTTATTCACCAGGATATCAATGCGGCCGAAGGCATCAATGGCGCTCTTAACGACGGCATCACCGTCCTCGCAGCTGGCCTTATTGCCAACAGCCTTGCCACCGAGCTTTATGATTTCCTGAACCACAGGCTCGGGGTCAACAAGATCATTGACCACAACGGATGCACCGAGCTTGGCAAACTGCAAGCAATATGCGCGGCCGAGACCAGCACCACCTCCAGTGATCAAGGCAACACGGCCCTTGAAGTCAGGCTCCTCTCCAGGCTGAGCGCTGGGCATATTTAAGCCGTTTTCCAAAAGGCCCATAAAGTCGGCAGGACCAGTAGGGTATTCTGGCTTAGAGAAATCGTTGACATCGTTCCACTTCCGAGCGATAGCACCAGGGGTCAGGGAGTCATCGGTCTTCAGGAGACCACCCTTGGCTCGCTCCCAGCGGAGCTTGGCAACGTGGCCACCACCGACCTCATAGATACCACCGGTCTCTGTAGTGTTTGATGAGTGCACGAGGACAGCGACCAAAGGAACAACCCATTCGGGCTTAAGGTTCTCTAGAACATCAGGGGGCATGACAGTTGCAGTCATGCGGCTGGCAGCTAATTTAAGGTTAGCTTCCCAAATTCATGCTGGGATCTTATAAATTGCTTACCAATGGGAGCAATAACGTTAGCAATGATATTGTATTTGGCACCCTCCTTAGCCAGGGTCTCGGTGAAACCGACCTGACCAAGCTTGGCAGCTGAGTAGTTGGCCTGGCCGAAGCTGCCAAATAGACCAGCAGCCGATGCAGTGTTGATAACACGGCCGAACTTTTGTTTGCGGAAGTGAGGCCAAGCGGCTCTTGTGCACTATCCAAAAAAAAAAATCTATCAGTTCTTGCTACAATGGCCTGTTTTTATTGTCCGAGGATTCTCACCTTGTATGCACCGTAGGTGTGAACTCTGTTGATCAAATCCCAGTCGGCATCCTTCATATTCTTAAAGCTGATATCCCGCAAAATACCAGCGTTATTAAGTAGGATATCAATGCGGCCGAATGTCTTAATAGCGGTCTCGATGATAGCATCACCGTTCTCGACGCTGTCATAGTTAGCGACGGCCTTACCGCCAGCGGCGCGGATCTCCTCGACGACAACATCTGCGGCCTGGGGTAGATGTCAGTATATGTCTATATAGTTCGGAGGGATTAGGCATACCTTTCCTGACTTGCCCTCGCCCTTGTGAGAGACACCGAGGTCGTTCACGACGACATTTGCACCCCTTGAGGCGAAAAAGAGAGCATATGCTTTCCCCAGACCACCACCAGCACCGGTGACGACCACCGTTTGGTTATCGAATCGCAACTCGGACATTTCTGTGTATATGTGTCCGAAGGTAAAGTGGATAAAGAGAAATAAAAGAAGAAAGCTGGGGAAGAGGGGAGTTTAAAGCAACTCGGCAAGCTGAGGACCTCGGCACGTTTGGGTTGGTTCTGTAACAGTGAAATATGGGGGTATCGTTACAATGGCAGATCCTCCCGTATCACATGCCGGGATACCTCCGATTTTAAGTATATTTTGGTTAATTTAATAGAAGAAGAAGATATATATAATATTACTAGACTTAATATTCATGATATATATGTAAGTGTATATATATATATATATATATATATATAACATATATGTTGTAGGTGTACTCCGTACCACTACCAGTACTGTACTAAGTGTAGCTGCCCTAGTCCCCGGGTAAGGTGGAAGTACCGAGTACTTGCTGACTCAGACATGTGATGGGCGAGCGTCATTGTCATGTGCAACTTCTACATCTTTTGTTTTTGTATAATATTTTGACTATTTAGTTATTTGATTCAATCAGCTTCTATATGACAATCAATTTTCTTACATATGTTGAGCCAAAAGTAGTGGCGGAACATACCCCGTGGGGGAAACCCCCCCCCAATATTCACTCGGCCGATTGGGAGAAACTTTCCACACACTATAATAGATAAAAAAGACGTACAATAGGAAACTACCAAGTATTCCATAGTGAATCTCAAGTCAAAATGCCTGAAATTGTGGACGACAAGTCGCAGCACTGCATCCCCTTCCTACTCGATCGCCTGCGCGTTCATACCGAGGGACACCGCGGCAACCCCAGTACCCCGCCGTTTTTTATCGGCCTCAATGGCGTGCAGGGTGCGGGTAAGACAGTTCTAGTGAGTCGATCCAGAGCTGATCAATTTCCCATGCCTCGGGATCTCTTCCAATTTCCTTAGAACGGAATCTTATACAAATTTCCATAGGTATCCGCTCTCAATGACACCCTCCGCTCCGAACCATACTCGCTCTCAGTTGTCACATTGTCGCTCGACGATATCTACCTTGACCACGCTGATCAGGTGGCTCTGGCACAAACCCATCCTTCAAACCCTCTCCTGCAGCATCGTGGTCAGCCATCGACTCACGATCTCGCATTGGGTGAGGAGGTGTTTGCTTCGCTTGCCGCTGAACGTCCGACGGCTATTCCACAGTATGACAAGTCTGCATTTGAGGGCCAGGGTGATCGTGTTCCAAGGTCACAATGGAGGGTCGTCAATCAGGAGGGTCAGGATAAAGTCAAGGTCGTGATTTTCGAAGGGTGGTGTGTTGGGTTCCGTGCCTGGGATAACCAAACCCTACGTGCGAAATGGGAGGCCGCTGTGCATCAAAAGGAGAACGGCGAATATGACGGACGACTAGGCCATGTGAATTTCGAGGATATTAAATGTGTAAACGACGCTTTGAGGGGATATGATGTCTTGACTGAGTGTGTTTCCTCAGCCATTGGAGATTGCGAAATTACAAGCTTTACTAACATAGGTTTCCTTCGCAGTAAGCTTGATGCTTTGATCCATATGTATGTGTTCTGCTACCACTCGATAACCATTTATCTTGCTAACTCATTTCAGCGATGCTGAAAACCCTCGGTTCGTCTACGAATGGCGCCAGGAACAGGAACGCACGCTTCGTGCTGCCAAAGGCGCCGGAATGACCGAACAACAGGTCAACCACTTTGTGGATGGCTGTATGCATATACCAAGGAGAGCAACAACACCATCGATGACAGAGTATACTGACTCAAATGATCGATATAGATTACCCATCCTACGAGCTCTTTACTGAAACCCTCCGCGAAGGCGCTTTCAAGCCTGCGCCCCAATTCCCGTCAGCATCAAGCTCACACTGGCAAGGACGACAACTCCGCCTTATGGTTAACCGTAACAGGAGAGTTCAAGAGGTCATTAAAATCTGAACCGTGTGAGTTGACGTAAAAATGTTGGAAGAAGTGCAGGTATCACATAGGTGAAATATACATATATTGCCACAGATTCCAATAAATGTCTCTCTACTCCTCCGTACTAGGCTCCGTACAAGGTTCGATTTATCTAGAACGATATGGGAGTAATTATTCCATAGATTGTGCAAACACTAAAATACTTGGCCAATTATGTGCTTAACTACTTTAATGAGCTCGAGCTTCAAGGTGATAAAAGTATGACAGCTATCTGTTTTCGAAGCCAACTAACTAGATAACTCAACATTCTAACTCAACATTCTAACCTCGGGACGGTCTTAAGCTTCACGAAGTCCTGAATACTGCCAAGGAACTACAATACAATATTTTACATCAAAGGTGACAGGACAGGGAATACAATTGGGTTATTGGATACAGATGAGACAAAATACGAAAGGAATAGGCCCATGACCACGCATTTGGGTTGTTTGAAGCATTAAATTGATCGGAAATCCCAGACCATCGTATCGCTAAAAAAAATTGACTAGTGGATATAAACAGCCCGTGCAAAAAACAACCCAAGACAGTAAAGTCGTAAAAATTTGTAACATTTTTGGAGGTGCGCACAGAGTACGCTCCAACCCGGATTCCTCATGAGAAGATCTAGTTCATCTGGCGGATGAGAGCGTTGATGTTCTCCTCACGGTTACCGGTGTCACCGCCCTCGATGTAGTGCTTGAACTTGCGAGTGCGGAAACCACCGTTGGGGTTGGACAGCTTGAAGGGCCAGAGGAAGTTGTTGGCCTGCTTGAAGTTGGGGCCAACAGTGTAAATCTCGTGGATCAGATCCTCCATGCAGACAATGCCGAACTTGCCGAGGTGCTCCTCGATGATCTGGTTGTCGGTGAGAGGAGTGCGCTGCTTGTCGACCTTTCCGTAACCACGCTTGTACAGAAGCTCGCGGACGGACTTCAGGTTAGGGTAACCGTAGGCAATGTAGGGGTTGACAATGGTCAACATCTCCTGGGTAGCCTTGGTGAGACGAATGAAAGTACCAGAGTTGATCTGGAGCAGACGCAGGAGCTGGAGGATCTTGCGGGGCTTGGGAGCAATCTTGTTGATACCCTTGATACGGACAACGAAGACGAGCTTGGGCTCACCCTCAACGAAGAAGCTGCCCTCCTGGCGAGCGACGCGGTTGAGACGGATCTTCTCGCGCTCAGCGGTGCGGTACTCCTGAACATAGGACTCGGCACGCTTGAAGATAACACCACGCTTCTCCTTGTTGGCCTAAAAGAATCTCAGTCAGCACGAGAGTTCTCTAAAATCTTGTGAAAAAGAATGGCAAGTGGGTTGTGTAACTAATGTCAGACCCGAAAGATGGTTGACAGACGACAGCATTGACCGTGGTAGCGGTCTAGTCATCGTGAATGGTGTTATGCATCATGTAGTTGGCAGGGAAATATGGCAGTGCAAGGGAAAATCGAGCAAAACTGACCTTCTTGGTCTTCTCGGCCTCGGCACGGCGCTCAGCGCGAGCAGCCTCTTGGGACTTGCGCTTCTTCAGAAGGGTCTCGGGAACGAGGACCTGGTTCTGGGTGGGAACGGAGCTATGGAATGTTAGAACAGCCTGTCCAGAATAGACCAAGACTGAGACAATTCGCCGAGTGAAAGAATTGCGGCATATAGCGCCACATTCTCAACTGAAGGCATGAAAGAACTCGACGAGATGTCTTTAATCGGTGAGGGCCAAGACATTGGGGCTCCATAATCGATTTAGCTTGGTACTAGACGTGCATATTCCAGCACAGTTTTCACAAGCCCGATCACCCGCAATATGCCATTGATGCCTTCATCCGACAAAACCCCAAACAATGTTCAGGAAATATGTTGGCACCTTTCGCCTCAGGACCATGTGCTGTTACCACACCATGGGCGCCCCAAGGACGATAGTTCACAACAATACTTTTGGAGGAGAAGGCGCCAAGCGCTTTCAACCTCAAGACTCCATCACCCTTTTTCTATTCCCGAATTTTGCTCCGTGATAGACAATATGTATATCCGAGATAATTGGAATCGAGATCAGGGCAGGAAGGATCGAGCTGGTACCTAGCTGTCATCGTTGTGGACAAACAGCTGGCATCCCCAGCGAGAAGGACGACTATACCCGCAACCTTGCAAACTCAAGCAGAGATTGCATCAGTCTTAGGAAGAAGTCATTGGGAATCATACGTAGGAGCGGCCATTTTGAAGGTCCGGACGAGGTCGATAGTCGGCTGGTTGTCGGAAGATGTCAAGGGAAGACGAAAAAGCTCGAAGAAAAGGAATGTAAGAAGAGACTTCGCTTGTGTGGGTGTGGGTCGCTTTAGCCATATATGGCTAGCCCATCAAGTTAATAGAGCTAACCCTTTGTGGATTTAGCCCTTATCGTTATCGAGATAAGGGCTTGTCCACCTCTTATCAGATGACTTCACCTACCTAGGTAGGCATCCATAGATCCATGTCTGACCCGCCTAAGAATAACAACTTCGTACATTTAACGAGGATTATCAAGTGAACCCGATTCTTTTTACACTTCATACATAATATACCATGTCTCGTCGTGGGGTTGGCCTCGGGGCCTTTGCAAACCGAACTCAGGCAACCCAATCTTATGCTACTCATGGAGCCAACCTCCGTTCTATCCATACTGCCTCCCTGCAGACCCAATTGTCGGTTTTCCAGTCGTTACTCCACACCTTTGCGCTAGAGCATAGCTCTACGATAAAGTCCAATCCGACCTTTCGAGCAGAGTTTGCGCGCATGTGCAACACTATCGGGGTTGATCCCCTCGCTGCAAGCAACGTCAAGGGCAAAAATGGCCGTCGCGGACTGGGAGAAGGGGGCAGCTTCTGGACCCAGATTCTAGGCGGAGATATGAACGACTTTTATTTTGAAGTCGCAGTTAGAGTTGTAGAGTTATGCAGAGAGACCAGGAGCGAAAACGGTGGCCTGATTGGTGTCGAGGAGTGTCGGAAGCGAGTTGGGAAAGGCAAGGCTATTGGGAGTGGGCTTGAGGTTTCAGAGTATGGAGTTGTTCCTTCAGGAAATAATATGGATATATATACAAGTCGCTAACTGAACTATGACAGTGACGACATCCTACGAGCAGTTCGGTCTCTCGAGCCTCTTGGCTCCGGGTTCTCTATCGTCAAGGTCGGCAGCAAGCAATATATTCGGTCTATCCCTAAAGAGCTCAACACGGATCAGGCAACAGTATTGGAAGTGATTCAGATGTTGGGTTTTGTGAGCATTTCAATGTTGCAGTTGAACCTCAAATGGGAAAAAGCTCGAGCACAAACTGTAATCGATGACCTGCTTGCTGATGGTCTAGTCTGGTTGGATGCTCAGGGCCCTGAGAGAGAGTACTGGTCACCTCAGAATCTTCTGGATGATAGTAGATGAAGTAGGAGTTCTCATGTGATTCGCGTACAATCGCACGATCATAATGCCTCGTGCGGTCATCCTTTGAGCCACAGCTTTATGGGAGAATCCTAGCTAAATGTGACCCCCGAGCTTTTGCCTGCCAAGTATTAAAGATGCATTGGACAGCCGGCGCTTCGAGGGAACAACATTCGCCCTTCCCTTTCGGGCCCAGGCTTGTTGACTAGACCATGAGCTACAGTTTATTTGATACTATTCTCTATGGCACTTATCCACGGGTATTGGAAGTACAAAAAGACGCCATCCAATCCACGCATAATTGCTCGAGTGATGGGCGTGCAAATACTATTGCGACCGATCAATACAAGTGGTTGTACACAACAGGAATATACCAAGAGAGTAAAATCCTCAATGATTCATTTGTATTTTTTATAAATTCCAGTGCTAGTTCAATTATCAATAACAACATATTCTACTGGTTTGACGAATCCGAAGTCGTACGAATCTCATTTTTGGGTGTTTGGCTGATACCGCATTGCGTGATATGGAGTGACGAGCATGTAAGATACCTCCCCCTCTCCCCCTCCAAAGGGAACTGGGTATAAGATATTAACTATCTCATATCCCCTCTAGGAAAAGTAATGGTTGATTGTTTTCCATATCTTTTGAACTGATCAACCATACTGCTATACCCTGCAGCCATGTCTCAATCTAGTGTTCCAGCGACAGATCCCGCTGTCTATGCTGAATACGAAACTATATGGTCCAATCTCCCGGATACCGAAGAAGAATGGATTCTCAGATCCCAGGAGGTCTCCGAGGTGCTAGCCAAGGATGCGGCCCAAAGAGACCAGGAGAACAAATCGCCGCGCGCTGAGGTGGCCCTACTCAAGCATTCGGGCTTGACAAAGCTTCTAGGACCTAAGAAGTACGGTGGTGGCGAGCAACCCTGGAGCGTTGGATATAAGGCAATAAGGGAGGTTTCAAAGGCAGATGGGTAAGACTCAAGCATAAACATCCCTCCTACCTCCCAAGGATAGTTCCTAACACGAAGACAGATCTATCGGTATGCTGCTTGGCTATCACCTTCTCTGGTCTACCATTGCAAACGTGATGGGTACTCCTGAACAAGCCGACCAAACCCATCAGTTGATCATTTCAAACAATTATTTTGTCAGCGGTGCCGTGAATCCCCGCGACAATGATTTAAAGATCACTCCAGATGGAGACCATATCGTATTCACTGGGAACAAGTACTTTAACACAGGAGGTGTTGTATCCGACCTCACAGTTCTTGAAGGTATACTGGATGGTACTAAGGATCATATCTTTGCTTTGGTCGAGACCCAACAGCCCGGTATCCAGTTTGCTCATAATTGGTACAATATTGGGTTGCGCCTAACCGAGTCGGGGGGCGTGAAGATAGAGAATGTCCGCGCTTCTTGGTCAGATGCACTGGGATGGGATGCAGTTACCAAGAGGCCTCGCGGCGATACTCTGAAGATCGCATTTCCTACCCTATTCCTACCAACGTAAGTGCAGTCTTATCTCATTCCATACGTCATGCCCCGCCAGTAGTTGCATGGCTGAATGCTTACTCGCTGTCCCCTACAGTGTCCAACTGGTCTTCAGCAATTTCTATTTGGGTATTGCTCTCGGTGCATTGGAATTCGCTTCCAAATACACCACAACCGCGACACGTGCTTGGCCTTTCGGCGGTGACAACAAGGAATCGGCAACGGATGAGTTTTACATCCTCGAACGCTATGGCAACTTCTTTGCGCATCTACGTGCCACTGAAGCACTTGCTGATCGAGCAGGTGATCAACTCTCTGGGCTTTATAATCGATATCAAGCGCAAAAGTCTGGTCTCACAGCCCAGGAACGTGGAGATGTTGCAGAGTGGGTGGCTAGCATCAAAGTAGTGGCCACAGATGTCGGATTAAGGGTTACTTCTGGTGTATTTGAAGTGACTGGAGCCCGTTCTACTGCCTCAAAGGTTGGATTGGATCGATTCTGGCGGGATATTCGAGTACACACTCTTCATGATCCAGTGGCGTACAAGAATCGGGAATTGGGACGATATGCACTACTGCATGAAGTACCTGAGCCTAGTTGGTATACCTAAGATATAGATTTCGGTATAATGAAATCTATATTAATCCATATATGAATATATAAACATATATGCAGGGTCAAGCTGTACAACATCGATATAAAGGGTACATATACCAGATAAGAGAGCCCCGCGGACGGGCCGATAACCGTTTCGGTCCGACTCTTTTTTTTTTTTCTTTCTTTTTTTTCTCCTCCTTTTTTTTTTGCCCTGTGGGAAAACATTTGACAGCTCTGTGAACAATTCACTTTTTAATACTTTGTCCTTATTGGATTGTTATTTATCATCTTCATATCTTTATCCAATTCTGAGATCATCCTAACGGCCGTCAACATGTCACACGAAAAGCAATTTGCCACTTACAACGATGTAAGAATCCCAGTCTATTGACTAGACACTATGTGTTAAGTCCAAAAAAAAGATGTCGGAGACATCGAAGACACAAGAACATCAACATCAAGATCTCCCTCAACCCCACAAAATTGCAGATTGTCTTATCGCAGTCCACAATCATAATCCCACGGAACTTTAAAAAGACTGGGACTAACGCAGAGATCCTCAACAGGTCCACAATCTCTGCAAGGAATCGGCGGGTATCCTTAAGAAATTCGAGCCCAACCTTATAATCGCCATCGGTGGTGGTGGTTACATCCCTGCCCGCATCCTTCGGTACACTCAATCCGCACGTGTCCCTTCATCTGGACTATACTGATCTCTGTTCATCAAAAAGGTCCTTCCTCAAGGAGCCCGGTCAATCTAACATTCCCATCCAAGCCATCGGTTTGTCCCTTTACGAGGACTTGGGCAAAGGTGAGGCTGAGGAGGCCCCCGGTACCAAGGTTACCCGTACGCAATGGCTCGACATGAGCTCTCTGGAGATGGCCAACTTGATCGGCAAGAACATTCTTATCGTTGACGAGGTTGATGATACCCGCACAACCCTGGCCTACGCCGTGACAGAGCTCGAGAAGGATGTTGAGGTAGCTCGGAAGCAGCTAGGCGATGACAAGAAGGACCTGAAGAACAAGGAGACTAACTTCTTTATCTTCGTTCTGCACGTATGCTTTTTTGTCTCTCTGGATGTTGATTGGTTTGGCTGACAATTAGGATAGAACAAGAACAAGGACAAGAAGGGTGAGCTGTCCGACGATATGTTGGACAAGCGTTACCACGCCGGGATCAACACTGGGGATGTCTGGATCTGCTACCCTTGGGAGGCTACGTATGATATACCTCAAACTCCTTATATAGATTGTGGCTGACTTTTTTTTGTTCTTCCTACAGAAACATTGAAGAGCACGATCTTCTGGCCAAGGGAAGCCCTATCGTCGAGACAAAGGAACCTATCATCAGGACGAAGAAAGGTATCGTCCAAGAAGAACCTTCCAAGGTCGTTTGAACGAATGATTGCATTATCATAAGCATTCCCATTTTCGCGGCGCTCTGACAGGTTATATCGATGCCTTTTTTGGTCCTCGATTTTTCTGTCCATGCTCAGACCAGGTGCATCAAACTGAGCATGTAATTTTTACGATATCCTTGATGAATCTCTATAGAAAAAGTTTTTTCTTTTTAGCAGATTGGCAGACCGGCAGGCTGCCCCCAAAAGACTTTTGAGTTGAATTGCTCTTATAATCGGTGCTTGGTTTTTTTTTTTTTTACCTTTCTTTCTTCTGAAAGAAACTGCCCCCATGATCATCAGGAGTTTTATTGTAACCACCCACCAGAAACCTGCTCCTGGAGTCCTCTCAACGTTGTTTTGCAGATATTGAATTGTAGACAGGTATCAAGAGAATACAGTATTAGTACCGGGAAACGAAGAATCACTAGAGCATAATTTATTATATTGATCCGGCGCAGCCTTTTCAATCCAGGGAAGACAAGCCTCCGTGTCCACACCAATCCACAACCTGAACTTCTCAGACTCGGACCCAAACCCTGTCTGCCTGGGTTCTGGATCGAGTATCTGGTTATCAGCCTAATCCATGCGCACATTTATCTCACATTTAATCAACCTCAACCTTGCCCTGGCGCAACTCCACTTTGGCAAGCTCGATCTCCTTTTGTAGCTCGGCGTGTGCCTCGGGGACATCGTTGAAGGTGAAGATCGCTACACCCAGGCGGGCGAGGAGGTAGCAAGCGAAGACGATAAGTGCGTAGAATGGGAGCTGGGTGATTGTAGGTTAGTATTCCTTCCATCGACACACTCAAACACCAGAGTTGGGGTCGGGGGGTTGGCGAAGCGGGTAGCGTACAACTGGAATGACTTCAGTCTGGACAGTCTCATTCAGGGGAACAAGTCCAAGGAAAAGGGAAAGGTAGAGCTGATCAGTTGTCAGTAAGATCCATGCAAAATTGTGCTTCTCTTCGAGATGGAGTGACTTGGTAGCATACCGAAGAGACAAGGAGAAGAACAGAAAGAGTTTGGACAGCGCGCGTCATGGTGAAATCGGTAGATAAGATAGGGAGATTCACAAAGGAGAGGAGAGAGGTCAATTGTGAAGATAGCACTGGTTTATCGTAGCAAAAATGAGGGACTTGGGGTTGTTGCGGTGCTGTATGCTGTATGCGGCAAAGGCCAACTTAGGCGATGCGCTTCTTGGCGCCCGGACCAGGTCACTGGTCTTGTGTAGGGAATTTGGATTTGAAGGATTATTATATGTATAGGCTTGTTAAATACACCTATTCCGGGTCTATACCTAATTCTTCCACGTGTTGGAAAGGATTATAAGATTTAAAAAAAAAAGAGAAGAACATGGGCAGTTATTCATCCATACATACCTACAGTACTAAGTGACTTATCCGTCTATGTACCCTTCCGCTTTGAGACCTTCTTGGAACGGCTTCAAATGTGTATTATATAAGCAGTCGACTCTCGGGACCTCAATAAAATGCACTCACTACGGCATACCTATTATTTCATACTTGACCATTGTCATAAAGTCGTCGATGAGGCAGTAGGTTCTTATATCTGTTGTATTGCAGGAGAACTTCATGTCGAAATTGCTAGCTTGGCCTAGATCCAGGGCGTTCCGATCTGCCCATGATCTATGAAACTAGTATATATGTATGATTACCATTCCTGAACCTTGCCTGAGTATAGCACAAACTTGCCGCCATATTGTTCCTTAGTTCCCGTGCTCAGAATCTCAACCATGCCGGCAGTGGATTTCTCAAGGGTGTCCGGCGCCTCCTCCAGGCCCCAACCCCGTGCAGCAGCATTGCCCATTTCGGTCTGTACCCAGCCAGGATCCAAGACAAACGCATTGAGCCACTCATCCTCGGCATTGATCCGAACACCATACCAGTTGATCATAGACTTTGATGCGCCATACGCCGCACTTGGGACCGGAGGTTGGCGTCTAGAGATAATTAGCTTCCATTTCCTATGTTCCAAATTCGAGCGGACATACGCAACACCACCGGCTCCAGATCCCATGATGGCAAAGATAGGTTTTCCGGTCGACTTCTGCAACAGATCGCGTGTAGCCTGGTACAACGACACGGCACTTAACACGTTGACGTCAATATGCTCGACGATCTCGGCCCGCTTGACGTCCTTGACGAGAGGATACAATTTGGCAATGCCGGCATTGGCGACGACAATGTCGAGGTGGCTGATGTCCTGACCGGTGGCTTCTTTGACTGCATCAAAGGCAGACTGCTCAACGCTCGCTTCGTACTTGACTACTACAATACGACTGCCCTCCCCTGTGGACACCTCGGTGAGTGTCTGAGCGGTCGAGTGCGCTGGATCACGGACGGCAGCTATAACAATCTATTGGGGATTTAGTGTCAGTGACTGCCTCGAATTCCAAATACGAGAGGAGAAAGTGAGAATTTACATGGCCCGGTTTGGCAAGGAAACCCTTGACAAGCCCTAGGCCCAAACCACGATTGGCACCAGTGACGAAGACGACAATTGGAGCCATTCCGGGGTATAAATCTCCTTTTAGGGCTCGATTATTAGATACAGCAAAAGACAAAGAAAATCTGCGGTGATTGATTTATATCAAAGTGGGTGTCGTGAAACTGAAGTATGATACTACTCTATAGATGTCCAACTCAGTGTACACTTATATATATGTTTTGGGTGAGCGTCGAGCAGGCATTGTTGATTATCAATCCATAGATATCTCTGGGCAGGGCTTATACCTCGTCCCTAATCTCCGGGGCTTGCTGGAGGCCATCCATGAATGGATTGTTCCCGAAGCTATCGGATTACAAATGCAGGTGATCCTGCCACCTGCACACCCAAGTCCGAAAGGCTGAAGTATCATCATCCCAGTGGATAATTGCGTGAGCAATGAATAAGTTGCGTACTATCCTTATCTTGAAGGGTAAAATACATAGCCACCGGCGTGTAACCCCTGCCAAGTAGTGGTCACCGAAATAATTCCGATATCCCCGAGTTAAACAAGACTATGTTGTAGTTTCCTGCTGTGGAATTCATATTTCAAAAGTCGATAATCATTGCAAAACTATAACATTGGGATATGTGAAATCAATGGGGATAATGACTTTTTTGAGGTCGGGAACGGCCCCGGGACTGTAACCTGTAACCGATAGCCATAGGAAGGTACGAAGCAACAGCTCGAGATCACGTTCCCGAATGTGCCCTAGACCCTACACCAAGGAATCAATTTTATGGATTTATCTACCTTCAAAAAAATTTAATGAGTAGAAAAGGTGCTTTAACAGTGATAATTCTGGCTGGCAATATTGAACCGAGCTTTTTTTTTAAACTAATTTATGAGTGTCTTGTGTATGCAATAATTACTTTTACATACTAAGATTAAAAAGTTCCGAAACACCAACATACTTAATAGTTCTCTTTCCCAAAACTAGAAGCTATAGGCTACTGGTCAGGAACTGTAGGATAATGGTTAGTCCATCAAGCTTATGTAATTCTCCCTAACCGGGAAATTATCATGATTCATTCCTTGAATATCGTGGTTCGATTCCGCGCAGCTCCATCTTTTTTTTTTTATCTGCTCTCATTTTAGATTTTTATAACAAAATAGTCAAAACAGAAAGTAATATAAAAATCAAACATTACCTTATTGTATATTTAGGTATATTATTATTTATTTATCGGGTTGCTTCTTTTCCCTCTCTCTACGTACGAACTTCCAAACCTTGGAAAGCTTCCAAGATAACAGGCCGCTCCGAACACGTGATCATCAGCAAAATCATTGCCCAGGTGATTCGACCTTTGACCTTGGTGATGATATAATATATATATGGATATATTCAACACTTGATCCGAATGAGTGACGGTGCCAAAATATTAAACAGCTACGAGCATAGTATAAACATGATGGCTCTGTACAATAACTGTACCTAGGCCTAACCTAGACTAGATTGGTGCCTGAATCTACCTCAGGCAGCACACTCCGTCTAAATTTACTTTACTTTGTATCTGCGATATTTCTGGTCGCTCATCTTCCACTTAGATCAACAATACATCTCACGCCCCTGTTGCCTGGTTAGAAGCTACCAGTACTCCTAATTAAAGTACACGCTGTTTGTTCACAGTGTTGAAATTGTTGCGACGGCGTCAACCCAACAGGCTGCCATCTAGGCTCCTCCATCTAACTGAGAAGGCCTTTCCCGTTCAGGCAAGGAACTCATATTTTCACATCTTCAAGTCCACACGGACCCTTAAAATTACCCCACACTCCGGAGGCAACTATCTGACCTCGATTCGGCGAGATGTTCTCCACGAGTATATCTACCGCCCAACTGGCCGTTCATGGAGATGCTAGCCACTCTGTCTTGAAGAAGGGTGATTTGGAATTGCCTCCTATCAAGAAAATCCTCTCTGATCTACCGGAGGTTTCTTCCTCTTTACCGCCCCACACGGAAATTATCGAATTTGAAGAGCAACAGGAGATGTTCCATGAATTGCGCGACATCATTGAAAAGGCCCAGGAGGTCGACGAGGCTGTAAATAGCTTCGATCTCAAGGAACTCCATGCGTCTCTTGAAGAGGCCGATGCAAGTGCAAAACGCGGGCGACGGGACGCCGAGACTCTGCAAAGCGTGAGCGCTACTCTGCAAAAGCTATGGAACTGTAACTCCGAGTACTTGGTTCAAGCTGCTGAGATTATTGCAGATGGTAGCAGAGATCGTGGGCTAATTCTATCTATGTGTTAATTCTATGACTTGCTAATTGTGATTCAGCTTCATGGCGTGCTCCATTTGGCCAGTCTGGCGTTCTGAACTTCTTCCTGGATCTGGTTGCTTTGAAGGGCGAAGTTGATACCAGCCTGTTGCTTCAATCTTTGCGCGTTATTGGAAACTCCTGTGCCGATACAGGTATGCTGCAATTGGCTACATTTATGCCCAGATGACTAACGTTGACGCAGATGAGAATAGGGAGATTGTTGTCAAAGGAAACTATACCCTTGCTATCATTCGATATTTCCTTGATCCAGATTTGATTTTTGTGGCCATTCCAGTTATCTACAACATTTGCATGGATTACAGTATGTCCAGACAGAACCGGCTGGTGATACATGTTTTGCTAATGTGACACCAGAACCAGCACATGCTCAGATGGCTGCTAATCGGACAGCTTACATCTTATTGAAGCTAATCAAAGAAGGCGGGATCGAAGACAATGAGGCTTTGCTCAATTTCTCATATGACTTGATTGAGTTGGCCTCAGAACAAGGTATGCTCCTCACCTCGATCTGTTTTTCGATCTAACATGCACTTTGCAGCCGAAGGCATCGAAAACTCTCCCAACGGAACAATTCTACTGCTGATGGAGCTTGCCATTGATGAGACTCTGGATTTTGCGCATTTCTCATCGTTGGCAACTTCTCTTGCTGCTTACCTCGAAAAAGAAAAGTTTCAGAATGTCTGCGTGTCGAATGGGATGGTGGAAGGCGTGCTAGATGTCCTGCGCCATTCATTTTCGATTGTGGTGGACCCTTCTTTGAGCGAAGACGTCAAGGCTCTCGCGCAGCTCCGCCTCAAGATTAACCAGGCTTTGGCTGAGGTATCAGCCTCATCATTGTTCGCCCAATACTATCCACTTGACTCTCCTCTTTCACAGACCTTGAAGTCGTGGGTAGTTGCAACCGAAGATCAACTTCAGATCTGCGCCTGTGTTATGCTTGGTAATCTCGCTCGGTCCGACGAGGTCTGCCAGGTGATGGTCAGGGACCTCAAAATCCACGAGGAATTGATAGCTGTTCTCAAGGGCGATGCCCGTGGTGCGGTACTGCACTCTTCGCTTGGTTTCCTGAAGAACCTTGCAATTGCAGGTGACAACAGAGCTATTCTTGGAGAAGCTGGTATCATCCCTGCTATTTCACGATTATGGGCATACGAATCTGTTCCGCAGGTTCAATTCTCAGCTGCAAGTATAGCGCGCCAAGTGATTATTTCCTCGATGGGTAACATTTCTCGTCTTCTCGCTCCTCTCTCACAAGATCTCGATTCTCCGGCTCACCAACGGACTTATCTCTCGCTGCTTCTGTCTCTTTTCGAGAAAACAGACTCTACACCAATTAAGACTGAAATCGGACGGACAGTTGCTTCGATATGTCGGACTGTTAGCCCCAAGGCTCGTGATAGAGATGAAGAAGCAACTTCTTTGCTTGACCGGCTGTACACCCTGCACGAGGGTGTTTCGCTGCCAGTAGGTGCGATGATCACACAGACCCAGTGGCCTGTTGTTCGCAGTGAAGGCTGGTTTGCTCTGGCTCTAATGGCGACAAACAAACTGGGTTGTGCCGCCGTTGTGGACTGCTTGCACAAGACAGAGGTTACTGAGTTGCTCAAGACGACCCTGAGTGGGGGCACTCCCAATCAAGATAACGCTGAGGAGACAGACAAGTCCCAAGAGATCAAAGACCGTGACAACGCTTTCGTGCTTGTGCAAGGACTACTGAAGAACGAGGTGAGTTTTCTGCCCTAGAATAATGGTAGTAATTTACTAACCGGAAATAGTCCGGTACTCTTCCTGTGGGTTATAGAGATATGCTGGAAGACTTGGCGAAGGTCAAGGCCTTGCAGTTAAAAGCTATAACAGATGTTTAGTTGCAGAGCCCTAACTGACATGATATGATGCTTTTGGGACACAAGTTTTATTATGGTTGCATATGATATGATGACTCGGCCAAATGTGCGTTTGATTTAGACTGTGGAACCAATACTATTTAGAAATGGACCCGAAAGAAGCTTATGGGATACCTTTCTAGAGGGACAAAAAAAACAGTGATATTTCTTGCTGTATGTATCCCTGAAAACGTGACACTTTGAATGAAGTTTGTAATGCTGTAGGCATAGCGATAGCTCAAGCACCTGAGCAAAGATAATCTACTTCTTCATAAGAACCTAATTGTAGACGTGCAAAATCTGAACCAAATCGTCGGGTATATACGCATATGTGAACATGTAACGTCCTCCATCAAGTGACATAATCTGATACCCATGGATTTCGAGGTCACTCAGTCTGCAAACACACTTTCTCCTGTGCATAGGCTCGATAACGAGTGATGAGATCCGTGGCGTCCAGGCCAGCCACAGCTTGGCGAGCAGAATAATATGAAACAAGGCCCTTGCCATCTATAATAACATGCGGAGGAGAGCCATCTGACATATGCCAATTGTGGGAGGATGTGTTTTGGTGATCGTTGCGAAAAATACGGTGCAAGTCCACTGCATCATTACCCCAGAAGCACCCAAAGTTCTCGCTAATGGGCTCGGTTGGATCGACCCATATCGGGAACTTATAACGGCCTAAATTATTGTCTTCCAAGTGGTGCAAGAAGGAGTAATGTTGCTGCGCACCAACAGTCCAGTCATGCAGGGTCGGACCAGTGTCGGTGTATACGGATCTCGCGATAGGATCTCGGTCAGAGCCCGCGTCTCTGGGGAGTAGCCAGCGATGCCCTTCAAATGGTGGCTCAAAGTCTTTGTGTACTTTGAAGTTCAGTGGACCCTGCCAGCGTGGAAGACTCGAAGCGCGCCAGTCATGCTTCAGTTGCGACTTTGATCGGGACGGTTGTTTCACGTGGTACAATTCGGGCAGATATGGAAGTGCAGTTCCCGGATGACTGTGAAGAAATGCGAGAGCTGCCTCGTTTATCACATTAGCCGATACCATCAGCGTGCTTGGATTGTCGAGTTTCGTCTTCACGATTGTTGAAATGGCGTTATCCTCCAGGAACACGATATCGCCGTCGATTCGGATATACATCATATTATCCTTTGCAACATTCCACTCCATTTCATGGCCGTGGGAAGAAATACTATACTCTGGTGTTTGATTCACGATAGAGTACAACCATTCCATGCTGACAGTGTCATCGGTCTGCGGCACAAAGACGACCTGATCAAGAAATCCATTATTATGGACTAGATTTTTCTTAAATCATGTCAGACTTAATTCATATAGTAGCGGCAAAACTGTGCATACCTGTAAATAGCAGTCCAAAATTGCGGTACGCTCGTGATGATGGAAGGGAACTAGAGCGACTATCTTGAAACCCTGAGGCTTAGAGTAATGACCCGTTCCTTGCGAGAATGCGAAGAATGGAGAGATCTCTTTGCGAAATAGTAATGAAAAGACATTGAAAAATATAAGCCCTGGATTAGAGTACGATAACACCGTCAAAATGATGCATGAATAGCCAATAACACCCCACAGAAGGATGAGGGTCCAATCGCGCCAGTTTGAGCGCTTATTCTCATTGTTGGACTCGACATCGCGAAGATTCTGGGTACGACCCGTGATTAACAGCTCCCGTGCCATCTGGCATTTATTCAAGAAACTGAAGGTGATGGGGAGACCATTGTGAATTTCTGGGCATTGAGGCCCAATTTAATGTCGAGCAAGACCATTTTTCCGGCAATTTGAATCAGACTTGAAGATCCGTTTTCGGGACTCGGATCCCAACAGCCACTAACAGAAACCGCTATAAAATAAGATCGACCCCCCTCAACTTTTCTCCTTAACAAAGCGTTAAAATCTACCGTGTACATTTCCGGATTGGGTAATGGGTGACGGCAAGCGGACCAAGGATGAGGAATGTGGCCGTGGAATGCAGGCGTCGACGACTTCGGAAGTTTAGCCAGAGCTTAAACAGAGCAATTCATATTCCGCATACTCCGTACAATGAACAGGTTCATCTTCATAATCCCCAAGTTGTGCTATATGTACAAAATACACAACCTTGTATGTGCTTCGGGTTTGTGTAGTTTGTCTCGTTTGTCTACCCGCTCAAATATGACGTCGCAGCACGTGCTTCCAAGGTTATCATCCAGGACCTTGGTAGAAGTTCTATTCCGAGGTTACTTCTTACTTCTACTTTTCTACAAACTTCGTTAATATTATATGCCTTTATGATAACATGAGGGCGGTCGGTCTCTTCGGCCGTTTCTGTCTCAAACGTGGACTTCCGCGTCTCCCCCGACAACATTTCAGTCGCCCGCCATGGCCCCGGCAACTACTAAAAGGCACCTCACGAAGGACCCCTGTCATAGGTGGAGTGCTTATGGCCACTCTGGCGCCAGCGGTCTTTTTGAAGCTGGCAGAAGAGAACGATGGCCACGACAAGACTGCGGAAATGCAGATGCTAGAAGCTTCGCGCGACGAGGTCCGGAAGACGGTTTCACCCGATGCGCAAGGCCTCTCCAAGCTCTGCCAAACAATATGGGTCTATCTTTATTGTTATGTCTATGATCCTATTGCTACAGGGATTCGCTTCGTCCACCTTGCCATTATATTCATTCCAGTCGTCGCCACGGTGCCCGCCATCTGGCTTGGTCGCAAAGTGCAGGACCGGGATGGCACGCGATCTGGCACATTGTGGTGGTATCGTTTCTTGGTGAAGGCAATGGAGCGGGCTGGTCCTGCTTTCATCAAGGTAGGCTAATGTCTTAATTGGCGAAGAAGTGTCGATTGAGACTGAACTGACAAGCCGACTTCTTGAATAGCTCGGCCAATGGGCTGCTTCGCGAACAGACATATTCCCACCGGAAATGTGCGACATAATGTCGTCACTTCACTCGAACGCCCCCGCTCACTCACTTCACCAAACGAAGCGTATCATTTGCAAAGCATTCAATGGACTGCCATTTGAGGACATATTCGAGGAGTTCCAGGAGGAGCCACTGGGCGTTGGCGCGATTGCACAAGTCTACAAGGCAAAATTGAAACCCAGCCTTGCTGCAACCAATGAAGAAGAATTGGGCATCGAACCACCAACACTGGGCGAGAAGGTTCGGAAAAACGTCGATGTGCTGGTCAAGAGTTCCCCACAGCGGGTGCCGTCATCGTATGTCGCGATCAAAGTGCAGCACCCTAGGGTTGAACAAATGATACATAGAGACTTGCGGATCATGTCATTTTTTGCTAACATGATAAATATCATCCCCACGATGCACTGGCTGTCTTTCCCTGATGAAGTACAACAGTTTGGGGAAATGATGAAGTTACAACTGGACCTTCGGATTGAAGCCGCCAACCTCGTCATATTCCGCCAGAAATTCAATTCTCGCACTACTGCTTGGTTCCCATACCCATACTTAGAATACACCACCCGTGAGGTGTTGGTTGAGGAATTTGCCCAGGGTATCCCATTGGCCACCTTCTTGGATATCGGAGGGGGTTTGTACCAGCACGATATTGCCAATGAAGGCCTTGATGCATTCTTGCACATGCTGCTCATAGATAATTTTGTCCATGCCGATCTCCATCCGGGGAACATCATGGTTCGTTTCTACCAGCCCAGCGAGCTGGATCTCTCTCTTGGCAAGCACTCGCGCGCGTTCAATGCCCCGACGCGGGCGGAAGTTGATGTGACGGATGCAGTCCTTGAGCGTTTACGTCCAAATCTCAATGATCCCGAGGATTGGAAGACTGCTCTTTCCCGGCTCAATGACGAGGGGTATCGACCGCAGTTGATATTTATCGACACTGGGCTTGTCACTCAGCTAAATGAGACCAATCGGCGGAACTTCCTCGACCTCTTTCGAGCTATTGCTGAATTTGACGGATACCGGGCTGGTCAACTTATGGTTGAGCGATGCCGAACACCGGAAGAGGTCATTGATCCGGAGATATTTGCACTAAAAATGCAGCATTTAGTCCTGAGTATCAAGTCTCGAACCTTTGCTCTAGGGAGTGTCAAGATTGGTGATATCCTTAGTGAGGTATTGACTATGGTCCGTGGGCACCACGTCCGGTTTGAAGGAGATTTTGTCAACGTCGTCATTTCATGTCTTCTGCTTGAAGGAATAGGACGTAGTTTGAACCCCAACCTAGATCTGTTCAAGAGGTGTGTTTTCTTCCCCAGGAGGCTTTTTGACTTGTTCAACTGAGGCTGACTTTATCTAGTGCACTTCCTATTCTACGACAATTGGGATCTGGAAGTTCATTCTTGCAAACTATTCGCTCGGGTGACTACTCAATGCTCTGGGTTTGGGTCGGCCTGGAGGCTCGTGGAATGCTGCAGGCCAGCATCGAGAGTGTTGAGCATTGCGTCAAGTACGACCAACTGTCCCCTAATATATGACCATTTGTCATTCTTCTTTTGTATCATACACGCCTGATTTCGCCACTGTTGATATAAAAACCTCAGATGGCATGCCCGTTGAATGACGATAAGACAGCCATGTTTGATTTATTTTGAAATTTTAGAGAGATAGACTTATTTTTTTTCCCAACAAGAAATCTGCATGCAAAACGTGAGAATTCCGATGTTTGAGAAGGAAAGATAAAATTAGTCCAAAGATATCATGAGCACGTGCCTATTTTCATAGACTAACGAAGAACGACCGAGGTTGTGATACAAGACAAGAGGGGAAAAGATAAATATCGTACAAACACAAGCGAAGATAGGTAATGGAACGCCAGCGCGATGCCTTCGAATAATTACAGAGTAGAGTGGAGAAGCAGACAGCCTGGTTGTTGCAGCCGTCAAACACTCTTAGCGCGAGGCCTGTTCACGAACAGCTGCGCCGCTAGCTCTCCACCAGACATCACCTCCCCATCTCATTAAGCGCTCAACGGCTGCTGTTGGTGTATCCAACGCAGGGCGGATATCGAGATGGAAAACAGGCAATCCGTGGGGATCAGGATCCCCAGAGTAGTAATCAATCACGTATCGAATTTCCTTCGGACCCGAAGGTGTCTGGCGGACGACATACCAATCGTGACGGTCAAAAGGAGGGCTTGTCCTGTTGAAATTAGAGTCAGCATTTTATAGTGTAAATAACGCGAAGACAGTCCTTACTCAAATTTGCTTGGGTACGCCCAGCTCAGTGCCTGGTATATCTGTGCCTTGGGTGACCACTCTTGAGGCCGACCCTGAAATCGGAGTAGGCGAGGCGGGGAGGTCAAGTCGAATTTACCATTCTCGTCTGCATATGTCAAGTCCATGCTCAGGTTTTCCTCGCCGCGCCGACAGTGTTCCCATCCAGACTTAAGACCCTTAGCGAATACACGCTCCCATCCCACGATTTCATCCCACGCGCCTTCGTTCAAGAAGTTGTGCACTGCAACCATCGACTCCACCGCATCCTGGGGTGTATCTGTGTGTCCTTTGCGCAGCATGGCATTGTACATTTGTTGCGGAGACGGATACTCCCAGTTACCTTCGCCGTCGCCTCTTGGGATTGAAGACCCTTCGCGCTCAATAGGAAGGTCAACAGTTTGGTTGGTAGCGCGCTCTTGGGAGATAGACGAGAACATGTAGTTCAGAGGATTTAGCTTTGACAGGGTTGAAGGTTGCGCCGTGGTGTCGGCGGGTGACTGCGGTGTTTGCGCTGGTGTAGATTTTGGGGCTGAGTAGAATGGAGAATCTTTCGACTTCATGGGGCAGCTGCTGGAGATTTCAGCATTAAGTGCTGACGAAGGTGAGGGTTTTGAGCCCGATTCATGCATCGGGCATCCTGGCTAGATAAGAGTCAGTCTAAATGATTGAAGCTGTACAGTATGCGCAAAACAAACCGGAGGAGATGCATTTGAGGTTACATGTGGAATCGAGACTGCGGAAGCTTGTGGAGTGTCTGCCCAGAACCAACCCATTTTGAAGTATGAAGCAAAGAAATTTTATGGTGAGATTCAAGGCGAGAGCGAAAGCGATAAAAGACCGGAGAAAGCGGACTTTTTTCTTATGACAAAAATCTTCCCCTCAATAGGCTGAGCCTAAAGCGGTGAGATGTAAACAATCTTCTCAGGTTGGTAGTCTACATAACGGAGTATGTAGGGCTTTATACTTCATCTTTTTATATATCCTTTTCCCCCAAGGTTGATATATCCCCGCTTATACATAGAAAAGTCGTCTGCCATACCGTCTTTGTATATTGTACGTCGTAGAGTCTAATCTGTGCTACTAGTATCCCATTACTAGTGGAACTATAGCTGATTATTATCATTCTGGCTATAACATCGAGAAGAAAAACTACATAAAAAAAGAACATCAAATTGCCATTTTACACAGGATATCCTTGATATTATCTTGAGCCAGATAAATTAAAGATTTACTTCTTACGTAGTCCTAAGGACAAAGGCCGCATACTACTCTGGTTTATATACTTCACAGCCTATTTTTCTTGTTATTACTATTACTGATGAGTTCGCTGTGCAAAATATACAAGTGCCCATAATTGAGAGCTAATTAAGGGAGAATGCTCCCGTTTCAAAAAGAGATGATAATTCCAGTTCCTCCGACTCCGATATCACAAACCCAGTCATCGCTTCGTCCCAGATAGAGCGCCAACTCAAGCTATCCAGAGCCGCAACAAAGA